ATATCAAAAAAGTTTTCAGATAATGCTATGATGTTTAATGCAAATAGGGCAATCCAACCCAAGAAAATAATAAAAATTATTAGAAAAACTTCATACCATTTGTCAATTCAGCTTTGCTGCTTGGATGAGCAAGGAATGATAAAACCCAACCAGCAACCTTGTCACTATCAACCTAAAACATGTGCAGCACCAATCGTAGATTAATCTCATTCTTCTAACAAACATCGGAATGGCATGGTAGCCGTGGGGGACTTTAGAGGCTATTCTAAATTCACCACTGCTCTGCACCTAACTCTGTTTCAGCAGGGAACAGAAGGACTAATTCCTACCTTTCCTTCTGGTTACTTACATTTTTTTCCACATATTTGAGCACACAAAGGTAGAGTGAATATCAAAAACATACAGCTAATTTACAGGCACAAATCGAAACAAACGTACTCCAAATCAGAAAGTTTGATGCTTTATGGTTTAAATTCAATAAAAGGACTGAATTCAGAAATCAAACATACAGCCAAATTCTTCCCTTTTCATCTAATAGGTTTTCTAAAATCTGAACTGATTCCAGTTGAAGTTAAAAATCTCAAATTCAGAAGCTAAAAAACCTTAAAATTGAAGAAGAAGACTGCGTTTTCAGATCAAAGACGAAACTCACTCGATCTGAAGCCTGTAGAAGGTGGAGGCCAGAGATGGTGAAGTAAGCGAGAGTCAGGCGGTTGATCTCCTGCGTCTGGTAGTGATGAGGCAGCTCACGGTACATCATCTCCAGGTACGCCACGTGACGATCTCTCTCGAAGGAAGACGGTGGTGACGACAAAAACGACGGTGGTGACGAAAAAAACGACGGTGGTGGCGATGATCCTTGTTCGTCTTCATCATCCGATTTGTACAAATTCGTTGCTGTTGCCGGTGCCGCGTCCATGGAGAATTCACGGTGCCGTGCAGAGGCAGCGTCCGTTGCTTGCAGGCCACAGATAAAAAGGACTTCTTTAATCTTGACTGTTCAGTTAAAAATCAAAAAAGGAGAAAGAGGAATGAAATACCTAAAATGCCACAGCCTCTAAAACCCCAATTGGCTGCATGAACCTCATTCGGTCGCGGCTTCCCTTCCCTCTCCTCCCTCCGTCTCTCGTCGGCAGGCTCAGGGGAACTTGCAGTCAAGCATAAACACCTACGACGGCGAGCTCTGAAGGAGTACTTCGGGGCTGGAAGGTTTAAAGAAGTGATGAAACGAAGCAAGACGACCCTCTTGACTTTTGCTGAAAAATGCAAGGTTTTATCCCTTTTTTCATTCTCTCTATGAAATAAATCTCTGCGCCTGTAGAAAAATTGTTAGTTTAGAAATGCAAAAAAGCTGAAACCTTGTTAGTAATAGTAGTTACTCTTACTTTCAATGATATCTTCATCGTGAGGGTGTTGAATTTAGAGGTGTAATGCTGCAGACTATACTGGCGTCAAATTGGCAAGGGCAGCTGAACACCATCAAAGCTGATGCCAAAGGAAGGTACCCATTTCCTAATTTTAGCAAGCGGTTTTCTTTGTTAATCTCGTCAATCTTGTCTTGTATTTTGCCCTTAATCAATAAAGTCTTTAACCTTTTTGTGATTGTTGAGAACACTAGAAGAGATAGACTTTAGATTCTTTACGAGACTTGTAGATGTTTGGCAGAATTAGAGGAAAAATGGCGCTCTAATAGCTTTAATACATGTGCTATAAGGCTTAGTCGAGGTGGCTCCTTCTCTAGAAGTCAAAAACCACTGAAAACAAGGATCTATTCTTTTGTTCTTCCGGCATAAGCTAATGCTCTTTTTTAAATATGTGTGTGTGTGTGTGTGTGTATTTGAGAAATAATCTCAAATACTTGTTGATGGTTTGTTTATTACTTTCTATGATTTTGTCAGCAAGGAGGAGATATACAGTTCAAAGGTTAAGTACATTTTAAAGAGGGGAAAACCATACATCTGGGTGCCTGAAAATGAGCTGCATAATGTGGTATGCTTCTTTTCATAACTCATACTATGGTTCTGTTCTCTTTGTTTTTAACATTTTTGTTCTTTTAAATCTTTAAGTTCCAATAAATTTGAGTTTACGGAAAGCTTTTGTACCTTAATATGGAGCAATAGTTATGTGCACATGAATTATGTAGTCATCTTATTCTAAGGTATTTCATTTTGTTTTCCATTTTGTGTAGAACACAATAGTTGATGAGCGTGGTTCCTTTGCTGTAGCCAATCCTATCCCTGGGCTTCTTCCAAATATACTTAAATCAATGAAAAAGGTTGGTGATAGTGTGTTTGACTTGTATTACTTGCCTTTCATGTAAGAGTTTGTTGATGTCAAGTGAGCTTTCTTTTGTTAGGTAGCTTAAGTTTTTGCATTTGTGTGACATGCTGTCAATGAGTAGGAGTTCAAATCTGTTGAGCAAGAATTGTTGATTTGAAGCAATGGTCTAACTTGCTCTATTCAAATGCTGCAGTTGCCTGCTCGGGTTGCTCTGAGTGGAGATGTTGTGCCTCTCAAAGAGCAAAAGGTAGTGATATTAAAGACAGCCAGGATTTCAGCAATGTATAAGTAGTCATATGATTAGACTGTCCAGGTTAATTTGTTTTCAGTTTTAAATGAGAATTTATTTAATCATTTTAGCTACCTGCTTTTTTTAACACAAGTATCCTAGTTTTTTTTTTTTTTTTGGCCAATTACAAGTATCCTAGTTAGAAGAAGGAAAATAGGTCATATTTTTGAAAATTGAAGAGGCTTGTGCTCTCATATCACCTTTTTATCATGCGAGTCCTGAGTCTGAGTAAATCAAATATTAGTTTTGTTCATCATGACCCATTTGCCTGATAGCTGCTAGGTTTAGCTACCTCTTTTGATACTATTTTCTGCATAAAATTTATTTGGAACTAGTAATCATGATGTACAGGTTGGGCTTTATTTTTCTTTTGTTGTTCTCCAAGGTCAAATCTTTCCTCTGGCATAACATTATAATAGATGAATTGACTTTATGTTCATGCACCCTAGTCTTATTTTCAACTGTTATCAGTGCTGCCATATTTTTCTTCTTAATGTTATAGGTCCAGTCAGCCACAGAATGTCTTAAGGAAGTCATTTTGTCTGAGGAGAGAGCAACTTGTAACTCATCTTATACAGTTTCTGGTGTATTAAGTTCTTCTAATCACATAACCACGTCTCGAAGTGAAGGCCTTAAGGAGCTACTTGATGAGGGTGAAAAGTATGTGGTTTATAAGTTTGATGTAAGGTACAAACATTTTCATGGATCCTTAATTTTTATTATGTGTACATATATGAACATGGAATTACATTTTACTGACCCTTGCTTTTCATGATAAAAAAAGTTCAAGTTGACATGATTAGAATGCACTGTTTTTCCTCTTTCCTTATTGAAGTCCATCATAGCTGTCCAGATACATGTGTGCACACACACAACAGATACTTAAAGTTGATTACTTGCATGTCATTGCTTGAAAAAACAATGCAGGAATAAAACCTGCTAAAAACTTGAAGAAACCTTCTAGTAACGTTATCAGATTTGTTGATTACAATATCAAAATGATGTGTTAAAGAGGGACATGGATTTAGTTGCTACAGACAAAATATGGAAGATTATGGTTAAGCAAGGCTATATGGTTTAGTTAACAACATGCATGTCCTTGAATGCTATTATTATACATGGTGAAAACAAAATGAGAAACTAGAAGACATAATATGTCAATTTTCATCTGACATGAGATCTTTGCTGTTCAGTTCTTGCATGTTTATTGATGGCAATGGAGGCACTTATGATGTAGAGTTGGAAGATATTTCTGCTTCTAAAGCAGATGTTTTGGGTAAGACCTCTCTGCAGAAGGGATAACTCATGACTGTTTCATATTGGTTGCGTGCAATCCATGCATTCCTGTCATGGAAGTGTCGAACTTCTTTTACATGTTTTTTGATCGTGCTGATCAAATCACATATTTCTGTTTCTTTTGTAGCACCCTATTCTGCAAAGCTAATTGATGGCATTAATCAGAGTGAAGCAAGGCGAAGGGCTTTAATACTGTTTTGTTTTGTGTACTTGAATACAAATGCAAGAGTAAGTTACCACCCATCTTGTGCTTCCAACTTTCAGAAATGTCCATATGATAAGTTGCATGAACAGTTGAAGAGTTAAATTATGGCTGAATGTTTGCACCCTGGGTTTGAGGCTTTACTTTAGTAACACGAAAAGTAGCAGATTCTCTTGAATTAATCAAGTAATGAATCTTTCTACAACTTCGAATTTTTCTTTTTCCAGGATGCATATATGCTGTCTGTGGATCGAAAGGGGTTTGATGTGCTGGGGAAGGTTCTTAGTATGGAGAAAAAGGATGATGGCAATGAATACCAATGGAAGCAATTCAGGTTCACATTCAAGGAAGAGGCAGAGGATATTGAATCTTTCTGCCACCAACTCGTGCAAATGGAAGAAGAGGCTGTAAACAAGGTTTCAAGCTCCAGTGGTCTATAATGATTTGACCTTTCCATTTTTCAATAAATTTTGTAGAATTATTTTGATAAAGTTTACATTTTTCATTTTTTAATTCACATATCATGTTGCTGGTCAAAAAGAAAATATTCACATGTTATGGTTAATTGAGAAAATGTTATTTTTTTTTTGGGTATATTTGGTAATAAATTATACAAAAGTAAATAATTATTATTTTTTAAAATCTCTCTTTATCTAACTTAAAATTTTAAATTTTCATCCCACCGGAGAAAATCATACGGTTACATTGTTGTTCGAGGATTTGAATTCTGGCACGGAGATATAATATTTTTAAGTTGATTATCTAATGTATATTGATATGGAGGGTAAAATGGTAAATCCATTCAGGGGATATACCGCATAAAAAATTTGAAGACGAATGTGCAGAATCCTTGAGGCAATCTTATGGTTACTCCCCTTTTTTTTTCTTTTTTTATGGGTTTCATTTGTCCATTGCATATTTTTGTGTTATTTTCATGGTAAAAATTTAATTAAAATTATTTAAAATATACAAAATATTAATTAATTTTTTATATCTTAAATTATATAATAAAAAATTAATTAAAATTAATTATTTATAATAAATTTCCATATTGTCAAGTAAATTTACATTATTTTATAGTAAATTTAAGTTATGGGATAAGGTACTAAAAAAACACTTTTATAGAACTAGAGAGGGCATAGAACATAAAACCATCATGGTATAAGAAAACATCCAAATGCAGAATTAATTCAAAGAAAAATGTGTAGAACCCTTAAGGGGGAACATCAATCACTAAGAAAATGCCCAAATGCAAAAGAACCCTCAAGGGGAAACAATAATATCCATTACTCAAAGACAGGAAAAATGAATTAGACTTCTAAAGAAGTCACAACAAAAGGCCACCACCATACCATCGCTTCAATTAGTCGACCTCCTCAATCTTGGGACCGGCGCCACTGCCACTGGCTGGAGGAACATCCTCGTCCATGCCAGCACCCATGTCAGCACCTGCTCCTTGATACATCTTGGCAATGATAGGATTGCAGATGCTCTCGAGCTCCTTCATCTTGTCTTCAAACTCATCTGCCTCCGCAAGCTGGTTAGCATCCAGCCACTGAATGGCCTGATCAATCGCATCCTCAATCTTCTTCTTGTCAGCTGCAGCAAGCTTTGAGCTGATCTTCTCATCCCGAACAGTGTTCCTCATGTTGTAAGCATAGTTCTCCAGAGAATTCTTGGCATCAACCTTCTTCTTGTGGTCCTCATCCTCAGCCTTGTACTTCTCCGCCTCCTGCACCATCTTTTCAATTTCATCCTTGGACAACCTACCCTTATCATTGGTGATTGTGATCTTGTTCTTCTGACCAGTAGTCTTATCCTCGGCAGAGACATTTAAGATACCATTGGCATCAATATCAAAGCAAACAGTGATCTGAGGAACACCCCTTGGAGCTGGAGGAATACCAGAAAGCTCAAATTTACCTAGCAAGTTGTTGTCCCTGGTTCTTGCTCTCTCACCCTCATAAACTTGGATCAAGACACCAGGTTGGTTATCTGAATAGGTGGAGAACACCTGCTCCTTTTTGGTTGGAATGGTGGTGTTCCTTGGAATCAAAACAGTCATGACACCACCTGCAGTTTCCAATCCAAGAGACAGGGGAGTGACATCCAAAAGCAATAGATCTTGGACCTTCTCATTACCCTCACCACTCAAGATGGCAGCCTGGACAGCAGCACCATAAGCAACAGCCTCATCTGGATTAATGCTCTTGCAAAGCTCCTTCCCATTGAAGAAGTCCTGCAATAACTGCTGTACCTTTGGAATCCTAGTAGAACCACCAACAAGAACAGCATCATGGACAGTACTCTTGTCCATCTTAGCATCCCTCAAACACTTCTCAACAGGCTCCATGCACTTTCTGAAAAGATCCATGTTGAGTTCCTCAAACCTTGCACGAGTAATAGTTGAATAGAAATCAATACCCTCATAAAGAGAATCAATTTCAATGGTAGTCTGGGCAGTAGATGACAGAGTCCTCTTTGCCCTCTCACAAGCAGTCCTCAACCTTCTTAAAGCTCTTGGGTTCCCACTAATATCCTTCTTGTTCTTTCTCTTAAACTCCTGAACAAAGTGATTAACCATTCTGTTGTCAAAGTCTTCACCTCCAAGGTGAGTGTCACCAGCAGTGGCCTTAACTTCAAAGATACCCTCTTCAATGGTAAGCAATGAAACATCAAAAGTACCACCACCCAGATCAAAAATCAACACGTTCTTCTCACCAACACTGGTTGCCTTCTTGTCAAGACCATAGGCAATGGCAGCAGCAGTGGGCTCATTGATGATACGCATGACATTAAGGCCAGCAATGACGCCAGCATCCTTTGTAGCCTGACGCTGGGAGTCATTAAAGTAGGCAGGAACAGTAACAACAGCATTCTTCACAGTGGACCCAAGGTAGGCCTCAGCAATCTCACGCATCTTAATGAGCACCATGGATGAGATTTCCTCAGCAGCAAACTGCTTCTCCTCACCCTTGTAGTTCACCACAATCATGGGCTTATCACCAGGACCAGGAATGACCTTGAACGGCCAGAGCTTAATGTCACTTTGGACTGAAGAATCACTGAATCTCCTTCCAATTAATCGCTTAGCATCTACAATGTCAGGAAATCTAATCAATAAACACAACTCCAAGCTATGTCCTTAGTCTAGCATCTAAGAAAAAAATCTAAAAGAAACAAACTTTCTGTGTGGCATACATCCTAACAAACTAGGAAACATTCGCAAGATGTCTCATCTAAATAATAATTTTTCTTTTTGAAAAATATGTACCAACTATGAACTATGAAAATGATTCCTTAATAACCTTAAAAATAAAAGGCAGAAAAATAGTATAACGGAGAAAATTAAGCTTCAGTTGCGAGGGCACAGAACAAAATAAGAGAGAATGATATCTAAAGCACTAGATCTGAAGACAATATACCATGCAGGGAAAAAAGATCAGAAAAAAAGAAAAAAGGAAAAAAGGAATGAAATAATTACCAAATACTGTGTTTAGGGGGTTCATCGCGACCTGGTTCTTGGCGGCGTCGCCGATCAAACGCTCCGTATCCGTGAAACCCACATACGACGGAGTCGTCCGGTTCCCTTGGTCGTTGGCTATGATCTCCACTCTGTCGTGCTGCCATACTCCGACGCACGAGTAGGTAGTGCCAAGATCGATTCCGATCGCCGGTCCTTCTCCCTTTCCAGCCATTGACAACAATAATAGAAGCGACGGCTAAGGAAAAGGAGCAAGGAGTAGATCTAGGGTTTCTGAGACAAACTATGTGGTTCTGGATCCCGGGGCTGGTGTTTAAAATGCGTTTTGGATCTCGATTCTAGAATGTTCTATGAGTAGCTGGGGAGATATCAACCGTTGATTCGAAAGCGACGGACGGTTGCGATTGGCTCTTGATTTGGAAAAGTCAACTTGGTAACGGCCGCCGGGCCGTGGACGCGACCAAGTCGGCACACGTTGACGTTTCTGGTTTGGGTTCCAAGTCTGAACAAGCAGACTTATATTTGGGCCACGTGCCTTATTTTTTTGCCATTATGGGCCTAGTTTTTTTACTAGCCTTGTGCTTTTACTAATTACCAAGTAGAGAATTGGGTTTGCTCAGCCCAATAACTCAATCTCGAATCAGGCTATATAATTGTCCAATGCATGGCCCAAATGTTGAGTTCTATGATTGATGATTACAGTGACTAGTGATTAATGGGCCCCCAATAGTGACCCACAAATGGGTCCCACTAAGTAATCAAAGTGTAATTAATTTAATCATGCACAATATTGTGAAAGCAACATAGATTTATGCGGGGAACAAGAAGCAATGGACCACCATACCAAACCCCTAAAAAAGCAAAACTTAATTAACTTCTTAATTAAACAAATAATTTGGAATCTGCCTAATTAAGAATCTTCACAAAAAGCTGCTGAAGGAGCTTCCTTTCCAACTATATGTATGGATAAACAAGAAGGGAAGGGCTACTTTTTGCATGGAAATGAGTTTAGAACTTTAATGAAGGGCATATTCAGCTTAGGATTATACTATTATACATTTTATTGGATTGGGTGAAAATGAGGGAATTGGATTCCTTCTCCATCGACATTAAACTTCTTTCCCATTCCCTAATTCACATGTCAAAGAATTTCGAATCCACACATAACAATATATATAGTTGCAAGCACAAATTAACACCCTCTCGCCCCCGAAGGATTATTGAACGAGAGTTGAAATAGAAGACGCGGAATGACTTATCTTAGTCATTAATTTTTGTATAGCAACTAGCAAGGGTAGTGAACCATGAAACGCAAGGGTAGCGTGGGACTAGCAAGGTGAAAAGATGAAAAGCAAGTTAGTACATAATATATCATCGAATTCCAATGTCTTGAATAATAATTAGTGCACCATTTGATTTAATATATTTCAAAATACATTTATTAAAAAATTATTATTTTAAATTTAAATTTAAAATCAAAAAAAATTTCATTTATAAAATTTAATAATTGAATTGATAAGTGTTAATAAGTATATTAAATTAAAGAATATATCAATCATTACATACCTTACTTTTCAATAGTACTGCATGTGATTGATGCTCAGCTAGACCGTTCCCCTTGGCTTGAAAAAATTAATCATGAGAGTGCTCGGCACAAATTAAGGAGGTTTGAATTAAGTGTTCAAATGGTCCATTTTGGAGGGGAAGAAGAAGAAAACCAAGACATGACACCACATAGCAAAAGTTGTTTTGTCGCAGTTTGGTACATGGGAATGGACCACTATGTGTGTACATGCAGCTTCCTCGTCAATGGCAAGTCAGCATCCTGAGATAAAATGTTTCTTCTTTTCAGCCTTATATATATATAAAAAACACACATAGTTAAAACACGTAGTCAAATTTATAA